ATATTGACATGTACTGTAGGACAATGTGCCATGCACAGGCCTAAAATTCGCTACCTGACAAACAAAGCCGATTCAAAGCCTCCCAAAATGTTCCCATGATTATAAAAGTTTGCAAGGTTGTTAAGTAGTAAAATCAGGTTTTCTGGTACTTAAAGGATTTATTATACTCCATCCCTTATTTATCAACTGTGTAAAGGGCTTGGAGTCCAATATTGGTTGCTATATTTCCACTTAGTCTCGCTTATACTTTATTTTTATTTATTTTTTCAAATTAAATGTTTATTCATATTTTGCAGGTTAATAGAAAAGACATTTAGACAACAACAATGACAAATATAGCCAGGGTAACGACAAGGGGAGGGGAGAGGCAAGTAGAGAGGCGGGGGGTCGCTTATACTTTATACATTAAAGAGCATTTAAGTACATTTAAAAAGTGACACTGAACTCAGGAGTTAAATCTTAAAAATGCATTCAAGTACCTTAACTATTAACACAAATGTGTGTACAAATTTGTGTATCACTCAGTTTGTGTCCGTGTAATATAGTGTTTCCACAGTTGAAATTAAGAGTCCCACCATATACACATTTTTCAAATATTATTGAGGAATGTCAACTGGACAACAGTGACCTTTATTCGAGCCATTACATAATTCTGATAATATATTTTTAGAAGAAGGGTCAGCAACAGCAGCTCTCATTTCTCTCATGTTCAGAATTACACTAAAACTCATAACATAAAATAACTGGGGTTAATGTCAGTCTTAAAAAAAAAAAAGCTTTGTGATAGCATTGCTAATTATAAAAACATATGCATGAGTAGTGAAATAATTGAGAGAGAGAGAGATAGATAGAGAAAAAAAAATTCACAGAGGATTCTTATTAAAGCATTACAGCCGTTTTCCATTCCATGGACCTCCCGACGAGGGCCTACAAAAGATCACTGGTGGTACCACTACTGAATGCCGCGCAGACTCTGATTCCATTATATTGGAATCAAGCTAACACTCCAACTATAAGCGAATGGCATAGTAGAGTAGAATACTACAGACTGATGGAAGAATTAACGTCTATCCGGAGAGGCAACTATAAAAAATACGAATCCACCTGGCTACCGTGGATTGCCTTTAAAAGATCATCCAGAATTTTATAGGCTATGGGAGAAAACCGTCAATATGAAGAAAAAATACTATTAGGAAAACAAACGAAGAAGTAGTAGACTTCTACAGTGAGAGGGGCATAGGAAATAGTAAAATTTAGTGCCATAGGTAACGTTAAGAACCCTAAAAAGAAAACCGGAAGGCCCTCCCCCTTCAAATCCCCCTTTCATATTTCTCTTTCTTCCCTTCCCCTACTTTCTCCCCTTTTTCTTTCTGTCTGTTTTTTTCCCTTTTTTTTTCCTGGTAACACTTACTGTATGAAGCATGTGACGGACAGTACCACTCCGCAGGCCGGCAAAATGTCCGGACGGGAGTGAACCCTGCCCGCCAACACTCAATGCTGGAACTTAACTGTTAAAATGTACTTTGATGTAAAACGAATAGATGTTAAAGTTACCTTGTTCATTTTGAAATAATAAAAATTGAATTATTAAAAAAAAAAAAAAGCATTACAGCCGTGCATTGATACTGCTCATATTTATCTCATATTGTTCAGAAATAAAGGGCCTGCTGCCACCAATTGCAGCCCTAGAGGGGACCCCTTTATCAAAACATATAGAGATCAATTTGATTATAGTATCTTGTGTCCAATCAAATCCTTATCCCATTCTAAAGGTGCCCACACACCTTACAATTTATCTGCAGATTTTCTGTGGTCAGATTGAAAAGGTGCAACAGATTGTCCCAGGTGGAGATTACTCCATTCACACAGTTTAATGTAGATGGAGGAATCTGTTGCACCTTTTCCATCTGACCACAGAAAATCTGCAGATAAATTGTAAGGTGTGTGGGCACCTTAAGCCCTGATAAAAAGTGGAGTGTTGCCCACGAAACGCATCAGCTCTTTCATGTTTGATCGAATTGTGAACAATTAGAGTCATGATTGGACTCTTGAGTTTGGTGCCTTTTATTTATAAACATCGAGTCCCTCCTGGGTACCCAACAAGGGAGGCCTGTCTTGTTTGGGAGCTTCATTAAAGGATAAATTAAAGCCTCAGTAGCAAGCAGTAGATCTTTGCAAAAAGTGTAAAAAGTTTAACAGAGGTGACTATTAACCTCTGTTAAAGCGGGGTTTTTTGTTTTTTTTTACAAAGTGTAATGTGAAGAACCTCGGGCGGCCGCAAAGTATCTTGGGGCGGGCGCATGCGCAGTTCACATTTTAGGCTGGGATGCGAGGAGAGACATAAGGTAAGTCAATGGACGCGTGCACCTGCATGCAGACACCGTGGGACAGGAAGTGCCAGCAAGCTCAGAGGAGTCAGCGCTGGATCGGAGACCCGCCGCAGCGCTGGAGGACAGAAGAAAATGACAGGAAAGAAGAAGAAGATCCCATTAAGAAACATCATTTCAGGTAAGTGCTGACATTAACATTGGGGGGAGGGGTAAGAATTTGACTTTAATGTCACTTTAACAGTGCCAGTGAAACTTTTCTGCATCTGGACGATTTGAGTGAGCACAAAAATCCCAGCACCTCTTAAGGTGTTCCTTTGGATTTCTCCTATGGCAGGTTTTCTTTATTCCAGACCAGTTATCAGAGCACACTGAAAACCCGACAAGCATAAAGTGCTAGTTAAAAATACTTTATTAAGAAAAGTGTCCCCAGGAGCAAGCAAAAATCATAAACAGGAACAAGTCAAGGTCAGGAACACGGAGATCAGCGGCACCAGGAACAAGCCAGGATCAGGAACCAGAGGAGACCGTCAGCCAGGATGAGGTCATTCAAGGAATCGGAATACTCAGAGCAGCAGGAATGCACTATCAGGTAAAACCACGCAAGGGCAAGGTCAGACTGGACTGAGCAGTTTAGATAGTGAGTGGGGGTGACATCATGACTCAGAGACAGGAAACTCCCATCTGGCTCTCAGATGATGTTCCCTGTTTGGCCATAAGAGGGAGCCTGAGAGTAGTGAGCAACGTTACAGAGTCTGCTCAGACAAAGGAGGAATCACAGGTGGGTAAAACGGCAGCCAAGCCAGAATGCTGAAAACCAGTTAAGTCAGGATGGAACCCTGACATTACCCTAATACAAACCTTGGAATTGATTAATTTTGTTGTCGAACTCCTGTTGAGATCAAGTGATGAAGATCTTTCCTTGGCACCAACTTTTACTTCGATTGTCACCAAAAAGCACAGTTGTTGCACTAGGGAGGTTGGAAAATGGTGACATTCTATGTGTACACATTAAATGTGCATCACCCCAGTAGCTTGAATACCGTACCACCCATCTGTCTTTTCCCATGGACGTGTGAATCTTACCAGGCTTGTCCCTACAATTTTCACTGCCTGAGACCAGGGGTGGAGAAGGGGTAAGGGGAGCAAGAGGGCGGTGCACGTTCTGGTAGGGGCGGTGGTGGCGAACGGTACATCACTGACGACACTGGTTGCCAGAAGCTGGACGGGGCAACAGCCACAGCATCACAGGTTGCCAAGAGCTCTTAGCAACCTGACACACTCTGGCCAGAATGAGACCCAATGAGATGCTGTCTGAGGCAACTGCCTCAGGCTGCCTCATTATGAGGACGGCCCTGGATCCTCCTTTTACTGTGTCATGGTTATTGTGAGACACTTCAATGAGCCTCCCTGGCCTCCCTGTGCAGAAAGCAGTCCCCTTAGATTTGTGATAAGTATGTATCAGAGGAAAAGGTGATAGATACACAAGGAGTGAAAATTTCTACACCTACATCCCTGATCCCGGTATTATGGTCAAACCCAGACTGTTTTATTTCATGGTAACAAGCAATGAAAATGTGCATGAGCCGTTATAATGTCCATACACAGTATGATATTTTTCAAACAATAATGAATTCATGCTGAAAACCCAAAAGATGAGGAACAATAATGGTAAGACAGCTTATAGACCTGATCTGTGAGAATTCAGCTAGACGTGCAATGTTTCAAGGTAATATGCATTCAGTGCTGCAGTGCAGCGGTATAATTGAGTACCTCTTCCCTAAGCAACATTATAGGTAGCTGTGAACTGTGACAACTGAGCTTTTGTATGTGCAGCACTGAATTGCTATTTAAGTACATTTCCATTGTGGTAATGTAGAGATGCAGTGATGATGTATATGAGCGTGTACATTTTCATGACTCATATTGCTGACTTTTTTCATTTTATATGAATGTTTTATTATGCCTGAAGCCTACAGCTTCACAATTTTCTCCACAGGAAACTCAGTCTGACACCAAAGTCGGATTATAAAGCAGACTGTAAACAGTTGTTTCTGCCTTCCCTCTGATTCTGTTTAACATGATCACTAAAAACCAGCTCTGCCTTTGCACACAATATACTGTCTGGAGGGGGGTTGCCACTATGAATGCTAATAAATAGGGGGTGGAGATCTCAGAAAGAGCTCAGTTGTAATTTACACACAAAGTATAGGGGCAGCCAAATCCATGAGGATATGAAAGGGAAAGCTAACAAAAAATGTAAGTTTCTGTGTTCATACACACCAACTGCATATGCCTACTTTATGTACACTTAGTGTACATTGCCGGCATGTTTTTTTTTAAATACCTGCACCTGCTGAGGTGGAAATGGACTTTAAGTTGCAGGCCAAACAGTATTAGTAGATATGCAAGAGGAATGGGCAACGCAGCCTATGAGCATGGGGCACAACAATTTTTTCTCAGGATAATTTCTTACTCTGGAAGTAATTATTTTTTCTCCAAAAAACACTTTCTTTGATTTTTTGCCTTCCCCCCAGATACTTTGTGTTGTTTACCTCAAGTTTAACATGTGGTGTCTATGGCAGGTCAAAGGAAAGAATGGGCTGGCAGCCTCAACGTACTGACCTGTGATTTCCCTGGAATGAGTGGAATGATTGTTATAATGATACTTACATTTACCCATGTGTTTTAATTTATCCCTAAATAAGGCATCTTCAGATATAACATTATTAGAGTCACAGCATCCAGACACTGCCTGGAATTCATCTGCTGCAAAACAACAAAACAAGTACCATTTAGCATTTACCATTCGGCTTTAATAATTGGAAACAATGAAACAGCTTCAAATGTAAACTCAAACTTGCTCTATAAAAACAATAAACAGTTCTTGTGTTAAGGTATTAAGAATATAATAATTTTTATTGAGATTAAAATTTTACCAATACATACTGTACAACAAAGTAAGGAAACAGGTGGAATAGGACCATCTTCAGCCAGTATTACATGGTATATAAAATAGTAGAAAACCCATCAGGTTAGCTAAAAAAGGGGTAGTGTTTTCTAAGAAAAGGAAAATGCTACGTACCATCACATAGAAAAAAAAGCAGAAAAACAAAAGTCTACTACAGTGTGTCCACGTGTATGTAAACCCTAGCAATGAACTTATCTTCTTTGCTCCCTTTTGCTCTGTTAAATATACCACTGGAAGCATGTTTATAAAATCTATTTGATAAGTGCAAAAACTACCTGTTAATCTTGCAAGAAACCTTGTTGGCTTCTAACTTCATTTGCTCTCTGCCTTTGCGGACTGTTTTTTATTAGTATTGTTCCAGGCTATCAGTATGAGCTACAGAAACTCCCCACCTAATGTTTTGGATATGGGGATGTTTTCTAGACCTGTCCTAGGGTGACAAATCTGCCCCTCAACAGATACATTGCACAGGGTAAGCCAAAACATCAATGGCCGGGTAAAATAAAATATATGAAATGTATTACATTTGTTCTTGGATTTTAATATGCTTTACTTTCTTAATAAAACTATAAATTTAAAGTGGGTTGCCATAGAAAACACAAAACTTATATTTTGTGTGACAAAAAAAAGTTGGATAAGGAAACCAAGTTAAAGTACTAAATCATTTTACTAGTCAGTATATAGCACTTTGCCGATGTGCACCAAAAAGGGAGAATTATACAACCAGTAGCCTGTAAATGGTTGGCAACACTGCATATAGACATGTGCATTCGGCTTCGGACGAACCTGCAAATAAACTAAATTTAATTGATTTGGCGGTTCGTTCAAATCCGAAATAACGAATTTATTATATGCCCCCAATACACAAAAACTATATTTCGGGCATAAATAAAATTTGTCTACAAAACACGCGTCGGCCATCTTGGAGGCGAGGTGTATGATGTCACATGACGGTAATGTCCTACACTGAACGAGCGGCAGCGCACTCTGCACATGCACGCCGCCATTTTGGAGTATATTTTGGTGTACACTAAGGCGGCGGCACCCGAACATGCGGGTGTATACCAAGATACACTCCAAAATGGCAGCGCGCATGCGCAGAACGCGCCAGCTCGTTCTGCAGTTTATTGTGGGGTATCGGATTCAAAAGCTTGTCGACTCCGATTATGAAACCGCATTAAACTTCAGTACCTTTGACGAAATTAATGAAAATGTTTTTAGTTTAACAAATTATTTTGCCCTGCACATGTCTACTGCATAACTCCCCACAGACTACATAATTTCTCCATAGCAGCCTACCCATATTATTATTGATCTACTGGCTATGAAGTAATTTAATGCAGCTACAAAAATGGGAATTAGTAGATACATTTTGATAGCTTGCAGGCTCTTCTTGTGAAGGTAGGCCTTAAATGGTTCAAATACAAGTAGCTCAGTTGCCGTCATTTCAGCCGTGTAGAAAGCTCCCAATCAGCAGCAGAGGTAAGATTACATAATTTACAATTGCTGGCTGATGCTGCACACACGCATCATGGGACTTTTTTGCTCTGGCACATTAAATTGTCTCCAGATAGCTAAAAAAATGATACATGAATGGACCCAGATAAATAGCAAATGTTTTGTACATAGTATTGACATCATTTTGAAATCGGAGAGCACACTGCATGGACATGTTAGAAAGCAATGGTTTTCAAAAAAGGCAGAATACGAGGGCACAGACAAAAGCCTTTGCAATAGGGCATATAGAGTGGCATAAGTGATGGCAGATTATATATTTTTGAAAAAGTTGATTGGCCCTGTGCAATATATACATATGGCCAAAAATTCAAGAGTGCATCTTAGTTTCATGTAAAGATTACTTTCCAGCCTTAATTACAAAACAATTTAATGACTAATGTTTTCACTGTGTAAATATCACAGAGAATCAAAGCTGCAGAAAACGTATTGATGTTTTTATTATCTCATGTCCTTACCTGATACTGAAGGGCAAAAGCTGAAATCACTGCTTGCCGGCATACTGCTAGACTTTGTTTTTTTAGACTCATATTTCAAGCGATCTAACAAAGAAAAGAAAAAAACAGTTTGATCTTTGGTGCCCACATTTTATTAACTCTTCAGCAAAGGCTTCAAAATTGCAAGTGCTGTAATCAGCTGTACATTACACAGACTTTTTCAATTTTCTAGAAAAGTGAGCTTCAGATTCAAACCTTTTATAGACCAAAGAGGGGCACCGATCCTGCTGTTCATTTATTACCTGGATATGGACTTGGAGTTAAGGCACCACACATCTAAACCACCTGGCTTGGCATTTCTGGCTATGTTCATCAAAAGTGGGTATCTTTCGTGTGGTGCAGCCAATCATGCCCGAGCTTCACATTTCATTGACTCTGCCCAGTCCAGTGCATGCCAGGGTAGTCCCCACCAATTGCCATATTCAACAAGAAGTTCTTATTCTTACGTGTTAATTTATAAATGCAGTAACCTTAAGCAACCAGAAGTAACTATGCCATAGATTAGATCAGTGACAGGGTCACTTTATGAAAAGGTACTTTGAATAGACCTTTCATAGTAATGCCACCAATGTTTCCTATTATGCCTAATAAAATGGGTGACATGTGCAAGCTTTTTAGGTTCTAAACCTAACCTAAAAAGATATGAAATCTCTTAATACTGGTCATAAGCTTTTATACACTACAATATCACAACAACTCAAACTTTCTGACAGAGGCTGTACTGTATGAAATGTAGTTTATCAGGTTGCGTCATTAGTGGCTTTCACACAGGATGATTTAATTATTGATTGGAAAGTGTGCATTAGGCCCACCCTCAAGTAATTCTTCCCAGGAAACATTTAGTTGGCCATTTCCTGATCAAAGTAACCACAGCCCTTTGTAAAGCAGCAGTGAAAAAGCCAGTCCTCAGCTGAGCTTTATGTAAAAGCACCACTGAGCACTGTTACTTCTAACAGAAAGCTTACACAGCACCAATTGTATTAAATATGAACACAAATGCCATCATAGGGAAAAGTTCAATGTTACTCTATGGTTTCCACTTTTAGGAAGCACTTTTGCTTTTTGAAATGTAAATCAGAGTACAGCTCTATACTTTTGCAGGTGAAGCCACACAAATGCTTATCTGGGGCCCAAACATACAAAACTTTCTGCAGAAAGCAGGGAAAAGATAAAATATGATACAGTGAGGTGCAGTACAAAAGATTAAAAACTCAATAGGATGAGAAAGGCAAAACAGAATGTCAAACAAGAGGCCAAATAAGGGAAAAAAAAAGAGAACCCAAGGAACATACTGTATGGACTTTCAGCTAAGGAGGGAGGACAGGGTCTTTTTGGCTGACAGCTCACTCCTGGCTGCTTCCTCGGGGGCACTATAGCCCCATGTCCTGCAAACCTCTCTTATAAAATGACTGCGTCCAGAAATGGAAACTGAAAGTCTAGTGTTCATATGAAGTGCACTGAAGTATGAATCACTTCATCCTGCTGATCTCACTGTGGTGAAAAATTAGTGCATTGCTGAGCCATCTTCTGGGGACAGGAAACAAAACCAAAAAGAAGGTATAAAGAAATAAAGACATTCTAAGGAAGAAAAGTAGATAGACCGAAGTGTAAACATGGAAATCAATATAGCATATTAATAACTGAATACATTATTAAAAAGAAAAAAACCCGAAACAAATCAGTTATTAATAGAAAAAGGTCTGTTAGAAAAGCGAGAGGAAATAAAGACTAAAAACCTACTGTATGGTGTCACACAAATAATTCATATGGTCTAATAAGCCAAAAAGAGCTGTAAAATAGATTAAAAATAAAATATATTAGTATTTTT